CTTAAACGATTATTCAAAATCACAAGACTGTCAATTGTCATCGTTCAGCCCTTCCCCAGTTTCGCTGCCCCAATTTCCGCTTATATACTGTGCCGCCTGTGCGCACACACTATACTCCGTTTCCATATCAGCCCCAACTCTCGAACTGAAGGAGGATCGGCCATCGCGACACCGCCGGTCGCCGCATATACTGCTACTGCCGCAGCGCGGGACTTTAAGTATTTCCGAATTTTTATGTTCTCATTAATTAATTAATTAATTGAGTTTTTTAATCTATTCGTTACTCAATTAGATGATTGGTGCTATATTGCTATTTGTGATTTCCTAGCTGTTGATTAAAGGCTCCGTCCCTGAACCTGGATTTCTTTGACACCAGAAACCCTAGCAAGATTTTACTGTTAAATATGTTTGTCCATGTTCGCGGTTCTTTCTTTCTGTATCGAGTAAACTCTATTAGCGTAAATTTTTTTTTTTTTTTTTCTATTGACGTTGAAATGGCATCCTGAGTGAGATGTTATCGCATTTTCAGAACATATGAAAATCCAATCAAAGTGCTTGATGTCCCGTCTTTTATCTTTTTTGCTGTACTGGTATTCTATGTTGTGCTTGTGGGTGATGACTTCCATTGCCTTGACACTCTGTAAAAAGGGTCAATTGAATGAGCGAGAATTAATATGTCCTCCTTTGACTAAATTCTTCGAAGGCAGGACATTGTTCCTTTGAGGGACTTTGGTAGCACTAGAAGCTAACTTATGAATGTGTACCATGGAATAAGTACATGATCAAGGATAGAGAAATTTTTGTTGATACCTTGCTGATTGTTTCAGATTCGTGTAGTCAACTGGCCATTGTTAGCCCTAGTTTCACATTATCAGGTCACCCGATAATTTGGGTGCATCCAATTTATTCCAAGTAAACTCTAAACTTAGAAAGTCTTAATTTTTCTGGGTTACAGCAGTTAAAACAACCCGCACTCAATCAGCTACCAGGGAGTTGAATTTTGAACAATGTCCTAGTCAACCGGTTGCATCTTCTCTTTATTATCTCTTTATTATCAAATGTAGTTGTGATGGGTTTTCATTTCAGGTTAGAGTCATTCAAAGCTTTGCTGCACGGTTGTATGCATCTCAGGAACTGATATCATATCCCTGAGCTGATATGGGTTTTGATATTGAGTGTATAATTGACATCCACAATTATCCTGGGGAATATTTCTGTCCCGTTTGCCGCACTCTCGTATACCCAAATGAAGCACTTCAGTCTCAATGCACTCATCTCTATTGCAAAGCTTGTTTGGCACATGTTTCTAATGGGGACAAGGCATGTCCATATGATGGGTATTTAGTGCTTGAAGCACATTCCAAGGTTAGGTTATGAGACTAATTTTATTTTTCCTTTCAAATGATTTACACTTTTTCATTGCATTAAAAATCCTGAAATATTTGCTTATCATGGCAGCCTCTTATTGAAACAAACAAAATTCTTGCCGAGACCATTGGCAAAGTCAAAGTGCGCTGTCTATTTCATAAAAGTGGATGTACATGGGAAGGAATTTTATCTGAATGTACCTCACATTGTCCTGGATGTGCTTATGGAAATTCCCCAGTTATATGCAACAGGTGTGGAGTGCAAATTGTGCATCGGCAAGTGCATGAACATGCTCAGACTTGTGCAGTGAGTGTATTAATGCCCATTTCTTTCATAGGGATCTTCTATGTTACCTTACTGAATTTAAATACGGAGTACTTATTTTTTACAGGAAGATTCTATAAACCCTAGACAATTTAATGAGTTTTGACTCTTTTCTCATCATCTGACCTTTCCATGATATGTTTAAGAAAAAAAGCGTCTCACGATTTTAGTCCTCCCATCTCTTCCATCCTCAACCAAAAAAATAAACAAGTGTACCAAGCCTTCCCTATTTTTTAGGGAACCATAGATACTAAGTATTATTTCATATGCTTGCATACTCTTTTTAGGGATAGTTATATTATATGCTATAATTTAAAAAATGCAGGGTGTGTATCAATCACAGCAGGCTGTAGAAGTTAATCCTAACTCTCAATCTGGAGCACCAGCTACTGCTGCTGCTGCTGCAGGTACTGACCAGAATAAACAAGTTGCTCAACCTAACTCACAAGCTTCTCAGGTTCAGAATCCGCAGATTAGTGCTGCTCCTTCGCTTCCTGGTCAAGATCTCAACCAGCAAACTAATGTCAATTCTCAAGCCCCAACTGCTGTGGCTACTCCTGAACAGTGGTACCAACAACAGTATCAGCAATACTATCAGCAGTATGCTGGATATGACCCTTATCAGCAGTCTTATCAACAGTACTATCCCTACCAACAACAGGGTGTGCAACAATATCAACAACACCCACCACATGTGCAAGGGCAAACACAGCCTCAAGTCTACGGCCAACCTCAGCTCCAGGCTCAACCACAATCTTATCCCCAGGTGCAACCTCAACCATCAACTCAATCTCAGCCTCAAGCCCAAGTTTCAACGCAAGCGCAGGTCCAACAGCATATTCAACCTTTGGCTACACAACACCAGAACCAAAGTCAAGTCAACCAACAACAATTATTTCAGCCTCCTGTACAATCGCATGCACAAGTTCCCCCACAATCATATCCACCTCCTCATGGTCAGGCCCCACAGCCTTATCCAGTGCAGCCACATCCACAAGGATTGCAACATATGCAAGCCCCTCCTTACCAGCAGCCTTCTGTAAATTTGCATAATGCACAGCCATCTATGGCATTACCACAGCAAAATCCTCAAGTCCAACCGCAAGTAAGCATGCACCCTCCTCAGTCTAACCAGCCTGCTGCTGCTCCCATACTCCAGCCTCAGAACCCACTTCAACCTCCTCATGCACTCACAGGACACCAGTCCTACCCACAATCTCAACTTCAAATGCCTGTGAGGTCTGGCGCAAGTGGACCTCTCCCTTCTGCCCACACCCAAAGTCAGGTTCTGCAGCAGCAGCAACCTATGATGTGCCCTCCTCATGCTCCTATTGCCAATCAACAACAGGGTATGCTGACTTCTCAAGGTCAATTTGTTTCACAACAATCCTTGCTCCCCCCAAATGCTCAATACAATGGCCTTCCAGTTCAGTCACGTCCTCCTCAAGCAACTCAACTACCGGTGTCTCAGCAGTATCCCCAGCAGCCATTTGCGGGTGCATTCCCTAGCCAGTCACACCAGCAAGGTCCCTCTGTGCATCAGCAGCCGGCTTACTTACATCCACCTGGTCCTCCTCATATGGCACCTCAATCAACTCAAAGCTATCATGCCCCTGTCCAATCACAGCCAAATGTTGTGTTAGGTCCTGGCATGCACCCTCAATCATCTCACAATTATTTTGGAAAAGCAATGCCTCCTGCATCTAGTGGATCCGGTGTTGCACATCCAAATCTAGCAGTGCAACATGGCTCAAACCAACCACCTAATGGTCATTATTCAAACTCTGTGAACAACCAACTGCAAGCTTCTATAGATCAAAAGAAATCTGTAGCACATGAGGGCCAAGTTGACCCCACATTCACAAAACTTGAACACAAAGCAAAAACTACAATAACTTCTCAAAACAGTGCTGGCAAGGAGGGCGGTGTGCTTGGAACTGAATCTTTTGAAACTAATGCTGTAAAACTGGAAACAGGCATGATCAGTGAACAAGATACCGCAATGGAGTGTGCGAGAAGCAATCACACTGATAAAGGCAATTCTAATGACCCTGCAATGAAGCAAACTGTTAAGGAAGAGCATAGTGGGAATGCTGCAGAGTTGTCATCTGGTGCCAAATCAGCTCATACTGACGGTTTGATAGACAGAGCCTCTGGTAGATTGCCTGGTAATTTTCATCCCCATACAGGCTTTGAAGTTTCATCTAACACTTCTCAGGGATTTCCTTCAAGTGCTTTGCCTTTTGGTTCAGCTGGTATGGGAAGAGCACCACTATCTGGACCTGAAGGCCACTTTGCCCCCCATCATACTCCTTTGAATGTCAATGAAAGTCACTTTGGGCAGCAGCATCCAACTAATCGAATGGAAGCTGAAATGTTCCATAACAGAAGGATGAATGGAATTGACAGAGGACTGCCATATCACACTGAACATTCTCATGATGAAAGGTTGAAAGTCTCAGGTGTGGATCATTCGGGAACTTTTCCAGGAGAACCTCGTTGGCCTCTTGATCAAGGTGATTTGGAGGGAGCATTTATTTTAATATACTTCTATATATTTCTTATTTTTTAGTAGTCATGGACCCTGAACTTCTGATACTCAAATTCTTTTTGGTTTGCTATTGTAGCTGGACCTGGTCCATTTGACAAGGGGCCTCATGGATTTAACTATGACAGTAATGCTCTTGCTCCATCAAGATTTTTGCCACCATATCATCCTCCTGGTGCCCCATTCAATATTGGTGGTGCAGAGAGAGAATTGCGGCATAGTCTGCTTAATGACGAGAGAAGAAATGCTGATTTTGTCCACAGGCATACTGATTTTCTTGGACCAGGACATGGATTTGGTCCTGAACGCATGGATCGCTTTGCTCCTAGGAGTCCTCCCAGAGAATACTTTGGCATCCCACCCCGTGGATTTCTTCCTCATGGTCCTGCCGGTTTTGATGATCTTGATGGCAGAGAAGCACACATGTTTCCTGGAGGGTCTAGACCTTTCAGACATCCTCCTAATCCAGTTAGGAACTCATTTCATGATGACGGGTTCCTTCCTTTGCATCGCCACCCACAGGGAGACATGGTGGGCGAGCATATGGTACCTAGACATTTGAGAGGGGTTGATCCTTTGGGACGTCGAAATTTGCACGTTGGAGAACCTGCTGGTTTTGGTCCATTTGGAGGCCCTGGTAGTTTGCCGCATCTACCGTTTGGTGAATCATTTGGAGGGAACAAGCCAGCTTTTCCGCGTCCTGGGGAGCCTGTTTTTAGGAGCAGATATTCTCTACAAGGAGTTTCTAATGAAGAAACTTTTATGGAAAGTCTTGTCATCTTTTGAATTTTTCCATTTTTTTATTAACTCTCATTTTTTATCCACTCAATTGTTAGTCAATTTAGCAATTCAATGGGACTAGGAGAATCATGTAATGCTGAATGTTTTTTAACATTTCAGGGTGATGCTGACTCCTTCGATAGAACAAGGAATAGGATTTCACTGAGTATGGGCTGGTGTCGCATTTGCAAGGTTGATTGTGAAACCATGGAGGGCCTGGATATGCATTCACAAACAAGAGAGCACCAAAATATGGCTATGGATATGGTTAGAAGTATCAAGGAACAAAACAAAAAGAGACAAAAGTGAGTAATATTTCTGTTTATAACTCTGTTAAGTTTCACAACAGAATGTTTGCAAGCATTCTTCCCATTGGTAATTTTTGCAGGAGTAACACAGCAGTTGAAGAGGGAGGGAAGATTAGAAATGCTGCTTTTGAGGGTGGTGCTAACAAACCTTGAGTCCTGCAGCGTATTGCAAGGATTAGAAGGTTGTGATTGCTGGTTGCAGATCATCTGTATTTGAGTAGTGATATTTGTTGCGTAGTATTTGATTTTCATGTCTACTTCTCACCACAGGGGCATTTACCCTATTTCCCTCATTTCAGGTGGATGCCTTCTTCGGGAGATGGTTTTGGGAAGTTGGAAGCCAAATTCTGTTGCAGTTAAGTGTGTCTTGTTTACAACTTTGAGATCCTTATTTATGCTGGGAGAATTTTGTCAGTTTATTAGTTGACTAGTTGAGCTGTTCTGCACTTCTGCTGATGGAATTTGAGACCATATGCTGATAAATGTTGTGTACTTTATTTTGCGATTTGAATTGTACAAGTGCCTTTAGATAATTTGTGAAGAATTAATCTTGCTATGGGTCACAGTCACCATTAATCATATTAGCAGATAACAGAACCCTATTCCCCAGACGAGATGGAAAAAGGGTTACTTGGAGCCAGGAATGAGATAATATGTGACTACTTCTTTAGTAGCCGAGTAGGTTGCAGAGGCTTTTTGGTCATGATATCATTGAAAACCGTCAATCATCTATGCTTCAAAAGATCTAGGAAGTTTAGGAGTAGAAGTATATGAAATCACACCTGTGAAGAACTTAATTTTATAACCTATGAAATATTTTGACTAGTATCAAGTCTCATTTAAATTACCCCATATTTTTATGGATTATGTATACATGGAATGCTCTCCTTGAAAATATCTTTCTCCCCCCTTTAAAATTAGATGAGAGAAGTAAACATTACTTTCCTTAAAATTACCATCTCATTGGATGAAAAATTAATGTTTATGTTTTTATACTTAATTTGGTCCTTGGTCAAAAGAGACATCTTTGTTCCAATTTTCACTCTTTTCCAAACTGCTGGCCCCATTGCCTTTGCATGTTCCTCTCATAGTTGGCTTAGAACAAAATCTCATCAATTAGTAGTTTTTATCTGTCCTCATTTGAGTTTGGACTTGGTGTTTAGTGGATTAGTTGTTATCTTATTTAGTTGCAACTTTTGAATTTGATGTTTACTGATGCACCACTCTGTCCACTTTGGCCATTAATATATTTGATTGGCTATTAGTAAAAATCATAAAAAAATCATATTTTGAAATTTTACTATGAGACCAATTTTATATTATTTTTTTAATATTATTATTTAATACATTGATGAATAAAATGTGGTCAAACTTCAAAGTAGAGTATTTGAATAGTGTAAAGTCAAAGTGTCACAACTATTAAAGTTGGTCATATTTTTTATTTAAAAATTGATGTACTGGACAGTCACAAAAGATTTTGGGTAATTTTTTTTAATGGTTCATAAAAATTATGTACAAAGTACAAACATTGGGGTCCCATTTTTACTATTATTAGTATGAATGATTTGGTAATTGATTCAACAATTTGAGCCATAACTCCATAAGATACAGGAAAATCAGGGCCACTAAAATAAACTAGTGGCATTGATTTTTTTTGTGATAAACCTTTTTAGTAATGATGACCCTCTAAACCAAGAGGTAGAAGACACTTCTGAAACCTTGGGAGCATGTTTTACTTCAGAAAAAAATATCTAGGTTAATTGATTCTATATGAAGCACGTTATCATAATGAATGATCAAAACTCTTTAATAAAGAATCATCACTATTCATTAGGTGTACATGTTGTGAGGCATATATTGTAAATATGGAGCCCATTAGGTAACTATGGAATTGGTTGAATGGACTGAATCTACTGAAATTGCTGTACTTTTGGATGAAATAGTTGAATTGGATGAATTTGTTGAAATCTGGAAAAGTTATATTTGAAACATAAATAAACAAATAAAACATAGAAAAATTATATAGAAAAAGCTAAAGTTGTCTGCTTCATCAACTTTAGCCCATTCAACAAGAAAAGTAACTTCATACTTACTTATTTTGATTATTACACATTTCAGCCTACAAAATCAAAAGCTTAGTGATTGGTAAAAATTAGCTAACAAGGCTCATAAGTCCAGACTCAAGAATAGGGGTTACCAAATGAGATCATAGTTATTGGATGATGAACGCAATTCTTACCATAAGAGGAATGACATGCTCTATAAGTTTATACTCTTTCCGTCCTATTTCTCTTGTCAGCATTGATGGGCATGAGAAATATGGAATTGAAAACTGTGTTGTAAAGATTTACACATACGAGAGAGGAAAAATGTAAACCACTTTATTTTCCTTTATACAAAAATTGACAAAACTTTTTTAGATAACCAAATTAGGAAAGTGGGTAACAGTAACAAAGACCGAGTGACCGAGAAAGTACACATATCCCGAATTATACTGATATTTATCCTATGAATAGTACACATTGAAGTGACTGTCAAGTTGAAATTGCATTTAAATTGTAGAAATCAGTTGAAGTTCATAAGAAATAGAAATGCTAATCTTGCCATCAAATCGTATCGTTACAATAGAATTTTCAATACAAATGGTAGTAGCTATGAGTAACTTGTCTGTGTATATTACTCCCTCCGTCCCCTTCAGTTTGTCCCGTTTTACCTTTTTCGTCCGTCCCACTAAGTTTGTCTCATACCATATTTGGTAACATTTGAGTGGTTAGAATTCATTCTTACTTTATTTACACTTTATCAATTCAATATCAACCACACAATTCCACTTTTTCTTAAAAACAACACCACACCTCTCCGTCCCAAACTTAGGGGGACGGAGGGAGTACTTTATAGCGTAGTAGGTACTTTTTTGGGCTCAAAGTTGTGAATGGCAATTAGGAAATCCTTCCTAGGATTCAGGAAGAATTTTTATCTCAATTCTTCACTGCAGTTTTATTAATCATGAAATGTGGTGTTAGCTAATTTTGGACAGTCAATGGGCTACAAGTTTTATGCTGCCAGCCCTTATCGTAATGATGTCTGTTAGAAATTCGAGTGGATACATTTTTTTAATACCAACCAAGGGATATATGATATATAAAGAAAGCGTGCTATTGTAAGCTTCTTAGTCCTATTTTTCCCAGCCTTTTAGGACTCATTCTATCAAAAATCCTGTTTAGAAGGAGATAGTAATCCCAGGCCAAGATGAAGCAAGGTCAGGATAGAAGAGGGCAACCTGCCACCAACTCACCAAGTAAGCCCTCCTTCTCCTTGTCGGTCTAATTAGGCTTAGGTATTCTATCAAGCTTGACTAGCTGGACAGACTTCCATTAGAAAACCAGTTCTTGATTTTCTTATTTGTTAGTAGCCAACCAAAATATTTTGAGCTTTTCCAACTGCTCCTTAGGCATAACATTATGGGGCGTGGGATGATGAGGTAGTGTCATAGTGTGATAGACCTTCCAGGTCACAGACATGCTTAGCACACTGTTTTAAAGACTTGGTTAGTATAGAATAAGACTTCAGCATACTGTCTTAAAGACTTGATGAGGTAGCAGGACTTTAGTGTGCCAAAGTTGTCTTATATATTAAGGGTCTTATGGCTCCTTTTTTTAGGAAACACATTTTTCTTGTCACAACTTGGGTTCGTCAGGGTGAGGGGGATTCTAAATCTTATATTCTGAAGCTCAGATATCATCAGTTAGTGAAGGCATTTATATGACGCACCTTGTTGAAGCTCGTTACAGTTTTTATTTTAGAGAAAAGGAAATTTTATTGAAGATGAGTAAAGTACATTAGAGGGAAGATAAAAAGAAGATAAAAACAACCAAAAGAAGAAACGACAAAAAGAAAATAAACTCAAAATGTCCCAACCTGAAAAACGTCTCTTTTTTAAAACGCAATTTGGATGTACAGTACAACTCCTTTCAATGGCCTACCATATCAACCTCTGTTCTAAAAATCGTTCTAGGCGCCCGACTAGTCCTTGCCTAGGCGCTAGGCGGTGGTCGGGCGCCCCGATTTTCGTCTAGGCGCTCCGACTAATTGGTTTTCCGTCTAGTTGAATTAGTCGGCCGCCTATGGCGCTTAGTTGCCCGCCTAGAGCGTCTAATCGGCCGCCTAGACCGTCTAGATTCGTCGAGCATTACTTCACTATTTAATTTTAATCTTCTAAGTGATATATGTACTTTAACTTTAGCCATGGATATAAAGAAATGAAGTTGTAAATTAAGATAAAACTATATAGTCTGTATATATACCTAAATTTTATCATTATTTATATTTATAACATAATGAAGTTAAGTGATTAGTTATCCTATACTACATATGATTAAATGTGATAATTCTATCATTCATGTTTGTTAATGAATATGTATATATGTATTTTATACACACAAAAATACTATATTATGTATCATATTTATGCAAAAATATCGATAAAAGTGCAATTTCTATGTTTCCGAGTAGTCCCCGACTAGGCGCCCGCCTAGGCGCTAGGCACTGGGCTGGCGCCCGACTAGTGTCTAGCGCCTTTTAGAACATTGATATCAACATGGAAAGAAGTTGTTTAGCCTCTTCAAATTTATTTTATTTGCGTAAAAGACATGGTAGTTCTTGTTTTGTTTCAAAGAAGATTTCCATCTTCTTTGTCAAAGAAGATTTCCATCTTCTTTGTCTTCCCTTAATTTTTCTGATACGACGACATAGTTTTAAGTGTTTTAACAATTTTGATGTTAATTATATGGTGTTATTTGTTATGAAGTTAATACTTCTTTTGTGGCTGAAAATATTTTATAATAGATCTTTTTGGTTGAACCTGCCTTTTTTGGGCGTCGCAGAAAAGAGAGAGGATGCTTTCCACAGAGAAAATTGACATTTTTGTTGGATGGCCAGGATATGTTTGATGCACACTTTTATTCAACTGGTAACCTACTGGTGTTTGTTTTGTTTAATATAATCTGACTAACTGGCATTCTTTGTCAGCTAATCACATTTCTAGTTCTCTATACAGATATAGTTAATAGTTATATATTGGTGAAACGGGAGGAAGTGATTAGGGAGTTGGTTTTGTATTTTATGCTAGGAGAAAATAATACACGATTTATATACTTGGGCTCATAAAATGGACTCTTGAACCAGCGAAGTAGACTCTTGAACTAGTCATATAGGAGCACACCAAGGGGATGTTTGAGCAGTAACCTGTCAACCCTAATAGTTCATGCTGTGCAAAGTAAAACTTGTTATGAATCTTTGTACGACACTATTTTTTTTTTTAAGGATTTGTAGGACAATATTAAATGTACCTATTTTAAAATGAAACAATAGGAGCATACCCATTAATTTTAGAACAGAAAATAATGACTCAAAACTTGGGGGTTCCAGCATGCAAATTCTATATTTTATCCTTGCTTTTATATATACATTCAAATTGAAGCCTGGAGTGTGCCTGAGAAGCAGTTCATACTTCATACCTCATTGTGGAATTTATTCTTAAAACTATTTTTGGATGGACTAGACCATAAATTTTTTCTTGGTGATAGTTAGACCATGCTAGCTAATTGTAGATTCACCTGAACAGATTTAGGATCTAACTACTAACTATATATTATTTCAAGTTATATCTAATATTTAAATGTACATATAAGGAGTTACAGACTATATCTCGATATGCCCTCGTAAGGCTATGCCTATCATTTAAGTTTTATGTTGTAAGTTATTGGTTTAATGGGTCTTGGGGTGGCTTTATGCATTTTGTGATGGACATGGACTATCCTGGACATCGGCTATTCTACTTGACATACACTAGGATGATGAGAAATTTGATTATTATTCTGTGAAAATTTCATCATTATGATTGAATAAAAAATCGGTTGACATTTAAGGTGTTTGTTTTTTGTTTTTTCCAAATTAGGATTTATAATACTAGTTAATAGTTTCACAGCACTAGCCATGGCCAAGTTGAAGGGTTAAGTTTTCACACTTCCCTCAAGGCATTCCAATCCCACAAACCTTTCCAAAAAATAGTGTTATAGTGAATTTGGCTAATGTTTACTTATTTTATCCTATGAAGTCAACATAGTATAAAGTCATACTAAGCTGGTCAATTCAATCTAATCAATCTTTAGTCTTTATCACCAAAGGAAATGAGTCCTAAATGTACTATTCTTAGAATTAGGTTTCTCCATGGGCATACTTTTTGAGAAAATATTTAGAAGTCATGACATGTTGGACAGTTGGCAATTGGCAACCACAGAGATGATACATATAAGTACTTATTGGTGTATCTTTGTGTTTATTAGTCTCTTTAAATCTGAAATTCTCCAGAGAAATGTGTATGGTTTTCCTTCACATATGCTGAAATTTTGTCTAGGGAGTATAATGGGGGTGGATACTTCATAGAACAATTCTTAGTCCTCCGTTTCCAACATTTCACCACTAAGTGGAGTGTATGCCAAAGGTGTAGTATCTGTATGAATCGACCATATGAGAAAGGTGATTCAGGTCTTCTAGATATCTAATTGCTTCTGAGGTGAATAGGGTTCCAAGTGAAAAGGTTTTATGATGACATCTATCTACTCATAATACTGAATGGAATTTAATGACTTTGGGATTAAGGGATACACATTCAAATATCAATTTAGGTATACCCAAATGGTTTCTATTGTAATTGGAATGATCATTTTTTAACTTAGTTGAGTATGGGAAATGAACTTAGAATCCTCATATCAACTCTATGATCAAATTCTAACATCATAGCAAAATCTCTTTTGGCTTTAACATTTACAATCATTGATTCCAAATAGAAAGATGAATTTCGAACTTAGGTTAGATTCTTGAAGCTGACAAAGGGTATCCTGCTTAATTGCAACAATCATGTCATTCCTTGTATGTTAGCTATTACTCTGTATTATAATTCATATATGTAGTCAAACAGTGTTTGATGAAATAACTTGATGGGAATATTCTATATATTCACACGTGGTTGTTTAGTGTACGCATTTATTCATTAGTACTTCGATAGACATGTTTTTAGTGAATAATAGATACAGTTAACACATATAGTAAAACCACGAAATACAGGCATCCCAACTAGAGCAAGAAGAGCTATTTGTGAGAAATAATGTGGTAGTGCCTACTAGAATTCAGAGCCTTTATGGATACGGCTAAAGACAAGGGAAGATAAGTGATCTTTTGGCGTAATCTCAATTGTGATTATTTTTTGTATGTATGCTAAAAATAATAATGCAAGCAAAGGCTCGTGGAGCTGTGGATTCTAGGAAGTAGAAACTGTAGAACAATTTACTCTATTGCGTGCCCCTCACAGGGAGTAGACATATTCAATTTGACATATTCATATGAAATAGATGAATAGCAATGAGATCCTCGGTGTAATGTTAAGAATACCTATGATTTCTAGAATTCATCTTTCTTTTGATGTGAAATTCAAGAAAAATAAAAAAAATGAGTGACTATCTCTGAAGTAAAGAAGATCAATAACTGAAGTGGGAGTTCAGTAAAAAATAAAACCCTTTTTTGATGGTTTCTCTCATTCATAATTGTGCATGAGATTTTCATCTAACACCGGCTCCAAAGTGATGTTTAAAGATAGATGGTTCTTTCCATAACACGATAACGGATGCTTTTTAAGATGTACCCTGTGAAGGATTAAAAGAAAAACAATATACTACCTCCATTTTCTTTCAATTGTAACACTGGACTTTTTGCACTATTTACTTATTCTACTTCGATTATATTTTATTTATTAATGTATTACGGAGTATAAATTAATTTTTTAAAAACTATTGTTAAATTCTTCTCATTCTAAATTTTCAAAATATAAATTTTTAAATTTTTTATTAATAAGGAATGAAAGATATTAATGGTCAAACTTGTGCGTTGGCAAATGTGAAATGTTGACCTTTTCAATTAAAAGAGATTGGAGGAAGTATACAAAAATAGTTGAAGTATTGTGACCTCATTAGTCTCTTCGAGATTCTTTTGACCCATGATGCTCATAAGAGAGTATCAACTGAACTTGCCAAATATCTTATTTATAGGAGACATGAGAAGTGAGGTTCTTTTTTAAACCAAGATTAAGAAGGATTGTTTCAATTAATTTAGCCTTAGTGTGCAAGTAAACCTCCAAAGGTGAAGGGTTATTTGATTAGGCTACAGATATTTGGCAGTGGCTTTTAAAGCGATGTTTGAATTTATTTCCAGACTAGGCAAATATAGTTTTTTACGTATTAGCCTAGTAGGTATTTTTATAATTTTAATTTTTGTTTTTCATCCATGTAATCAGTTTTGCACTATTATCGTTTTCACTGACTTTCTAATAGCCTTTGTTAAAAAATAAACATACACTAACACGATTTTTGTCATTTTTATTTTTTTGAAAAATCAAACTTTTGTTCATAAATAGCCTATATTAAAAGGAGTGATTAGTTTCGGTGGGATTAACTATAGTAAGTTAAAAAAAAATAGTTGACGGGGAAGCTTAGAAAAGAGTGATGTTCGTGTTTTTTTTTTTTGTTTTTTTTCTTCAAAATCCCTGTTGGCTGAGAGTTAGATATAGACTAGAAGAAAATACGTTAAGGATGAAAAGCAAAAGAAAAGTTGCTAATATTTAAACCAACGAGTGCTATATCTGAAGGGGGACTGAAGCATGTTCAAGTATTTGAAACATAGTAGACCAATTGCATAAGGTGCAGGATGAGATTTTTAAATTGCCTTGGAGGATTGTAACACTCCAAGTGTCCTAGGAAATTCAGAGTTGTCCTTTAAGGTTGGTGAAAACATCCATAAGCATTTGAAGGTTGAAATATGATGAAGAGTGTAATTGGAATTCCATCCATCTATCAATATCTGTTTTCTTTGCAAGTTCTTTGTAGGATGTGAGAAGGCAATATGGTGGATGCCTTATTTGTGGTTCTCAGCTCGTCTTTGCGAGGTGTCATTACCAGGGCAATCTCGTCTTTGTCTATTTTATTTTCTGCCTGTGTTCATTCTGTTTTGCAGTTTTGCTCAAGTTGTAAGCTGGGCTGAAGTCATTGTTTTTCTAAGGCCTATAGACTTGATCTTATCTTAATAAAATTCTGAGTAATTGTATTTGCGACCTTCGATTTGTTATTTCACAATCACTAATTCAATTATTAAAATAAAAATGCATTATTAAAAAATTTAACTCTTAAGACTAATACAATCAAACATCATCATAGATTAATCATTTATTGTATTAATCATTTAAGTCTCTAACTTATACGTAGTAATACGGAGTATATATTAGATTTTTTTTATCATTTTGTTATAATCAATGTATAAATCATAGAGATTCTTTTTCTAATCCTAATTGAAAGAAATAATTCTATATAATTCATGTGTATTATTATCACTCTAAACTTATTAATTAAATACTCCAATCACAAAATTATCTAGAAGTGTATAAAAGTTATTTTTAAAATATCACTCATGTGACTATTAAAGATACGTACTACGTATTATTTAATGTACATTTTACTGAACTTGTAAGTTGGGTTTTTTAAGTAAAACGATTTGTAATGTTTAAGGTAAATATAATTACCTTCATACGGTCCATACGGAGCACGGGAGCATTACGTATACTGTTCACTTCATTGTTTTTCAAAATTAAAAAAATTTCGAGGTTATTTGTAATTTTTCTTCTTCGGCCCTGGTTAAGCTTTATCTTTACTTTAGCAATGCTTAATAAGATTATGAACCGGACATCACTTTCTTTGAATAAAATGTATAGATAGATTATCTGGTATATACCTATTAAATGAAAAGGTAACGTTTATTAATAGTTACATGGGACGATAATAAAAAAAAATTAGTTACACGGGCATATATTTTCATCAAACTTGTGAATATTAATGAACAATATCCAAGATTACAAATTTACAAAGTTTAGAAAAAATATTAATTGCCATCTTTCACACCTCTGAAAACTTAAATTTTTTAGGAGCCCTACAATATAATACAAAATATAAAAAACGCACAAAAATTACTTGAAATTTGGGCAATTCGGAGATAAGCATAAGGTGTAATTAAGTTGAGACAAAGTTCGTTTTTTGGGTGCCCAAAGCCCCAAACTGGAATTACCTTTAAAGAAGTAATTGAAAATAAATCAAATCATGCTTAAATACCAATTTTGGTAACTTCTTCAAATATACCAAAGAAGTATTATAGATGTATTCCGTAAATGATTTTTAAATCACTTTGTTCTTGATGTATATGCATGTGCACATATATATATATGGAGTCACAATTCATTCAAGCACAGCAACATTTATCAAGAGTGGTTGCAATCATTCAAACGTAAAGGAAATTGTGACTTGTAAGAAGCTTAATTGTAGATGCTAAACCCAGTGTACAAACACAAAACTTAATCTCAGAATAACAAGACACATACGGATATGGAATATCTACATGATTACACTTGCAAACAGAAGTCAAAATCCATATGCGTGGGAAATGATGGAGTTCTTTATAGAAGCACCTTTCTACATTTCTTTATTTTCAGCCATCTGAATTCTTCATTTCATTGGTTGAACAAATTCAGCAGTTGGTGAGATGGTTACAAAAAGGGCATATATGTACAATAATCTTGACTCTGATTCATCTAGACATCTAGTTGTTACAATTCAAGCTACTCTCTCCCAAGAGATGGCGATTTTGGTGAAATTGAAATATACTCACTTGTTCATGTCACCTTGAGAAATTGACTCATTCTTCACCGATTGAGCAAGATTTTCCAGAATTGCTATGCAAATAGAGAATGCTTGTAAGCGGGCTAGATATGAGTTGTACTCAACGGAAAAGATACCTTCCTTGAAAGCATTGAAGCTAAAAACTGGCTTCTTTTGTTCTGCATCTTCTCCCTGACGCATTAAGCATAAAATGTTAAGCAAGGGCAATCAAACACTCAAACCTGATGGCTTAAACTAGCTCAACTTAAAATTTGAAGGAAATCACAGCCACATGCATTGATGGACGGGAAATAAATATATGAACATGTGGCTCTGTTTGGACCAACGTAAAAAACTAACTGAGAAGCTGACATCTGTTAGTTTATGGGAAGTGTTGTATAAAAAAGAGAAAAAATGGCTGCAATGGGTAATGAAAAGTGAATCACAGTTGCGGTATTTGTAAAATTATACGTAGTAGGATTATTACTGGGCAAGTGGGCAACAAATATAAGGACGAGTGTTTTTCAGTGAAATATTTCCCTGAGATAAGGTTTCAAATGAATTTTTACTTGTCATAATTCATATGTTCATAACACCTATATCAGCTTATTATGGTCACATCCATCAGTGCCACTGCACCAGACAAATATGGTCACTACTCACTAATGCAAATATAAATGACCTCTATGATGATGATCATTCGCCGCATTGTTGTGAACTCTTTTATAAGCATATTGCACGATAAGGAGATCCTATATAGAACTTTTTCTAGTGTTTTTTTGCATGAATTTATGTCGTTTTGACATTATAAATTTTATCCCACTGGCCGATACTACTTGAGATCAAGGTGGTAATGCTGAAGCTGATTCATTCTATAAATAGAGCTAATAGCTTTTAACAAAGCTATAAAGTGCAAGAATCTTGACACAAAAACTATAGCGCTCAGATTGTTGTTACCTGATGAAAAAGCTCAAACCGTCCGGAAGTTGAATGAATGATAGCTGAATTAAATGATTCTCTGGTCACCACTTCGCTACGATTAGCAGCAAGAACTGTTAGCTTGCAGCCCAAATCCCAACCCCCGCAGTCACATGACCCTCCTGACTTCCATCGTTCAATAAGTGGAGAAGGTTCACAGCCTTTCCCTGGTAATCCGTGATTACCACCTGGAAGAATAACAGTCAGCTTCCTAATGTCTTCTTCCCTGCCACTAGCAATGATTGCTGCGAGCTCATTTGTTGGCTGACCTGACTCTTTTATCTCTTCTGCAGGAAACAAAACAAACTCCCTAACAGTTCTTGAATGGCATCCAGAGAAGGGAACATCATCAGAAACCTTCATTTGAGCAATAACACTAGATATATACCCATTGCTTTTGTCTTTTCTCTTCATTTCACAGACATTACAGATTGAATAAATCCAACTGTTGTTTTTCTTTTTCTGCATTGTGGCTACTAAAATCTCACCTCCTTCATTCTCCACTGCAAATTTAAACAGAGGGACTCCACTTGTCATAGACACTTGGAAAAGAGCTTGTTTTCTCAAAGGTCTGTGTTTTGTATCATTGTCAATTTCAACCGTTTTACAACTTTTCATCAAACGAGGGAAGTGATGATGATCAGAAGAAGTGCTTCTCCTTGGGTTCAGTAATGGGTCAAGCAGCAGCCTTCTCAGTGGACTAGACCTCTTAACTCTGGAATTCAAATCATTTGATTTGTCACAAGTCAGACGATGAAAAATAGATGAATCGTCTTCATCCCTCCTTTCTTGTTGTTTAGATCCAGCATTCGAAACATCTTTTGCAGTAGATATCAATCCTTTTCCACTTAATTGTATTCTAAAACGATGAGTTCGAGAAGGATGTCTTACAAGTTTAGCAGTAGCAGTTTCTTCATGTTCCTCGTTTGCATTGGTTGGTTTGTTGGACTCCGGCTTTATTCTTCTGGGAGGTTTTGTTGAGATTTTGCCCACATACATTGAAGGTTGATTCGGTCTAGATGATGACACCGTCAGACACTTCTCATCTACTTTTCTGGTTGATCTTATCTGTGAATGCATGATGGTAATGGCTTTAGGAAGAGGTGGAGAAGGATTTCTTACTTCAGTAGCAGCTTCTGCATTTTCCTTTATAGTTTCTCCGTTGAAAGTCGCCATCATTCCTTTTGTCATGGAACTTGTGCAGTTATTGTCCTTAATATCTTGCGACTTTCTGTTCTTAATAATAGCATCATGCAACTTTGAATCTTTATTAAATTCCTTACGAGTAGTAGTATCTACCTTCTCAACCGAAGGCTGGATAATCTTTGAACTAATTTTACAGGGAATTTGTTGGATGTGCTTTTTTTGCCATGTTTCTAGACGGTTCCATTCAAGGACCCCAACATTAAAGGTTTTCTCTTGATGGAACTTTCCTCCTTCCAGATAGCTCGGCAAATTCGACATGTATCGAACAACCTCTTCACTGTCATGAATATGCTTCTTTCTCCTTGCCTTTTCAGATTTTGGTGGATCAACACTCACATTTTTTAATGCGTCAGCTTGAAGGTCAGCAGAAGATACTCTGGGTTCACCAAAGACCAGTTTATCACCCAATGTTTTCCTCTGTTGATCCCTTGAGATTCTCTCAGCCTCTAAATGGCAGTCCATATTCCATAAGCTACAGTTAGATGAAATGGCCAGTTGACTAGATATAGATGACTGCAAGAATAAAATAACAAAAAGGATAAAAAATGAAAGTATCTTTTCTGAGAGGCAATCATTTGAAATAGTTACTCCATCCGTAATCTTTTTTAGCAACAATTTAGGTGGTTTCGAATTTATGAAGAAAGCAAACAATTTTCAAAGTTAAGACTTAAGATATAATGCCCCTGATATGATGTTCTAAAGGACTATGTAGCATTTAAAGCAACATTTATTTGATAGCAATTTCCCCCCTAAACCAACAGCTATGAGAGGGAACACGTGTTTGTCTGTTCACAGTTCAAGAGATATCGTGTATTTTTATTTTTCAACAACAATGAGAGTGAAAGGAAAACACAACTCTAAGAATTTGGGTAAATTCTTGTGACTCACGCTTGCACGTGATTAGGACCCTTTATTCATTGGTTGGTAGCAGATATAAGAAAAAGATCAGTCAAAGAATCTTTTGATATCATGATTCACAGTGAGCTCATACGATAAAAGGCATATTAAAAAAGTACTTTCTCCATTACTCCAGCAAACAACAGAACTGTTCAAAATTAAAAAGCGGGTCAAAAGTTTCTTTAGGGTGTAGAATATCACATTTGTTGCCACTACAACTAAAAGCAACCAGTCTTGTGGCTCTAATCTATATCTATGTAAACTGACTTTCACACGAACGGAAATAGAATTCAAATTGAGTCAGGAGAACCGCACATTTTGATTTTAGAAAGCCACCTTTTCTTTTTCCTTTTCTGTTTTCAAATTTATCTTCT